CAAATTTACTCCTTCACAGATACAAACACACTCTTTATCTTTTCCCTATTTCTCTCATTCAGTTTGTCTCAATTCTCTCAAACTCATCTCTTTCTTTCTCTATCTCTTTCTAAAAGCTCTCTCCACCATGACCATCACTATTTACACCACCACTAATACAACGACTGCCATCGTCTCAACCACCGACGTTGTTTGTCACCGCCATTACCGCCACCACCACCGGCTCAACCACCGGTGTCATTCGATGCCACTATACCACCAATAACCACCACTGTCATCATTTACCTCTAAGACCTCAAATCTGAGATTGACAACCCCAGATCTGAGATTTATCATCGCAGATCTATATTCTCTCCTCCTTTTTCTCTTTGTCTCTTCATGATGTTTTGTTTTTTGGATAGTAAAATTTTACTCTAGTTTGAACCAGATCTGTGGCAATATATGTGCTTTCTCTATCTCTCTATCTTTTTCTTTTTCTCTTTATATGTATATATATTTTTGTCATTATCAGTTTGAATATTGATTTTGAGATCTCAAACGAAAAATGTTATTTTAATATGTGAAATAGTGAAATAGTAAAATTTTACTTTAATATAGAGTAAAATTTTACTGTTAACATTATTAATTCAATGTTTTGACTGATTTATCATTTAATATCTATATGAATAATGGTATTATTTATAGTAAGTGTGGTAGTTAGTGATGACAATGGTAAAAATTTACTGTTTATATGTTAAAAGTAAATAGTAAAATTTTACTATCTAATAGAGTAAAATTTAGTAAAATTTTACGGTTACCAGAGAATCTTATCGAAATTTTTTTGCCAACCGACAATGGTTGTCGGAAAATTGTTGCCGACTGGGGTGATCAACGATGGTCGGTGGTGGTCGATGATGGCAAACAATAGTCGGTGGTGGTTGTGATAATGCAAGAAAATAATAGAAATTGAGGATATTATTATCATATATTTTTTAATATTTTAAATTTTATTTTTAATGAATTAAATATTTTTAACTTGACTTTTGATAACAAAATTTAAAATTGAGAGATTTATTACTAAAAATCTCTTTTTTTTAATTCCCTTAATTCCCTCTTTAAAAAATGAAAAATGTTTGAGACTCTTTTTGGGGATGACCACATACCCCCAAAGTTATCCTAACCCTCCATGTATGTGTGTGGTCTATTTATGTACGTGTGAGGTTCACATCATGAATGATTCAGATTTGTAGGGGTCATGTGGGGGTCTTGTAGGGGTGAGGGGCAAGTAAATGCAATATTAGTTAAGTTGATGAGCTACAAGATTGGAGACAAGCCACAAAATAGCAATCAACAAGCTAAAATTAAAGTAAGCAACAATTGAAAGGCTTTGCACAATTAAAAGGTGAAATGTACTTTTCATTACTCAAAAGAAGGCATTATAATAGTTGAACAATGCACTACAAGTGCTATAAAAGTTGCCTTACCATAAGTTAGGTTAGGGTACATTAAAGGCACAAGTGATTTGATTCAACACTTGGGTACTCCCTCCTTATATATAGTTTGTTATGTCTTTTCCTAACTGGTAGGAGGAAATATCCACTATGTCTGAGGAGTCATAATGGATTTTTAAAAATTCTATAAAAGAGAAAAATTATAACTCTTGGTCTCAAAATACCTTTAATATTAAGGTATTTACATAAAAATTTACAAGGCAAAAAGATTACATTTGACTCTCTAAAAATTGGCCTAAAATTACTACTTAGTAGTTAGATTGCTTCATGGCATGTCTTGCACTATGCCTTGAGTCTTTGCTTAACTATGTCTTGAGTCTTTGCTTACACTTGTACTAATAACTTCTCAGATATGTTTTTGACTCTCCAAAAGGCACTAATGTGTGTGTGGCATCACTTTAAAAATATGGGACTGAGGTCGGATTCTTGGAGTTGACTTTGAAAGTTGTAGCCTGACTTCAATCATTCGGTGGTGTCGAGGTCGGTGAGTTGTCAGAGAATGGGGACGAAGACACGTGTTGAGCTGGAAAGTGAATAATTTCCCAGTACTAGTACCCGCCAGCTGGAGGCGAGCGGATCCTCTAGAGTAACCCTCTAGAGTGATCACCTAAAGTGAGATGATCGGACGGCTCAGAATACTCCTCATCAAAACGACGTCGTTTTGGTGAGGAATTTCAACAAAAAAAAAAAAAACGGATTTAGGGATTTCAAAACATGGAAATGCAGATCTGAAATTAGAGAGAGAGAGAGAGAGAGGCTGAGAGTTTCCGACTCGCCACCGAGGCTCGTGAAAATCGCAGAGGATGACAATGAGAAGTTCTTGTTGAAGCTCAAGAAACGCATTGACAGGTAATCTCAATTTTTTCTTCTTTTTTTTGGGATTTTATGATTGTAAATAGATCTGGGTTGTTGATGTAATCGTGTTTGAAGCACATTTATTTTTGTGTCTCTGTTTTTCTGATTTTTACAGAGTTGGGATTGATCTTCCCACCATTGAAGTCCGGTTCGAGCATTTGAATGTCGATGCAGAAGCTTATGTTGGTGGTAGAGCACTTTCAACAATTCTCAACTTTTCCATTAATCTTTTTGAGGTGAATTTTCTCAATTAGATCACATAAACATGTTCATATCTGTGTTGTAATTTGTAAATTGAACTAAGCCTGTTTTCTCTCTCTGTTTCTCTCTGTTTTAAAAAGGGGTTCTTGAATTACCTCCATGTGCTTCCAAGTAGGAAGAAACCATTATCAATCCTTCATGATGTTAGTGGAATCATCAAGCCTGGAAGGTGAGCCTTTCTCTCTCTCTCTCTATATAATTTCAGATCTGCATTTCCATGTTTTGAAATCAATAAATCTGTTTTTTTTTTTTTTTTTTTTTTTTTAATTTCCCCAATAAATTTTTTTTTTTTTTTTTTTTTTTTGTTGAAATTCCTCACCAAAACGACGTCGTTTTGATGAGGAGTATTCTGAGCCGTCCGATCATCTCACTTTAGGAGATCACTCTAGAGGGTTACTCTAGAGGATCCGCTCGCAGCTGGAGGAGGAGGAGAAGTAGCTTTGCTGGACGGCTGGCTCAATTCATTAATGTTGAAAATGAGAGAGAGAGAGAGAGATGATTATGATTTTGAATTTTGATTTCTTTGATGTTACTGATGGGACCAACACATGAGACAATCAATTACTTTGATTTTCCTAATCCAAATTAGGGGTGGTTTAGTATGGATTAATATAATTAATTATTTTATGTTGAGATTTTTTTAATCCCGTTTGATTTTTGTTTTGTTTGAAATGTTTTAAATAAATATATTTTTTAACTTTTTATGAAATATAGGTTGGATTTAAAGTGATGCAATAAAGAGGTAATGTCACTTAAATAAAATAATGCGACTTAAATAGGATAGTGACTTTTTAACTTTTTGACTTTTTTAGGAAATACCAAACCTTACCTTAAAGTTTTTTAAAATTTTGTGAGAGAAAAAATGTAATGATTATTGAGTAAAAAATAATATTTTATCTAATTGATTTTTATAATTAATTTTGTCTTTTTATAATTATTTAGCCCCAAAATAAATGTTAAATCGAGGCTTAATCGCTGAATTTTTTTTTGAGTGAATAATTATGTGATAAAAATTAATTTATATAATGTGTAATTTATGTGGGGTTTATATAAAATGTGATAGAAATTAATTTTTGAATAATTTTTAAGTCCTCGTTTGGTAATTATTTTGGGGCTGAAAAAACATAAAAAGACAAAATAGGCTATATAAGTTAATAAGACAAAATGTCACATCTAAATCATAATCCTTATACTTTTTTTTTCACAAAAGTCAAAAAAATTTAAAAATAAAAACCAAACGAGGTTAAAAAAGTCTCAACACAAAAAAGTTGACTGTCGTAGTCAATGCCAAACACAGCTTAAATTGATAAAGATGAGTTTGTAATATTACTTTTTCCTTGACTCACATTTAAAAAAAACAAATTATATAATTGTGACAAATTATAGAAATTACAATCAAGGGAAATTTTTATTTATTTTTTACAATGATAAAGGCTAATAAACATTTTCTAGAGATTGGTATTGTCAAAACCAAGATAAATAAATCCATTAGGTTTCATTTTTCCCAAGGCTAGTCACTCAAGCGATAACACATATGATTGATAAAATGAAACTTTCAGGCTTTGGCGAATCGTATCTAGTGTTAAAAGTGTGGCTTTGAATCCCACTTATGTACGAGTCTTGAGTAGTCTTACTATATAGCAACTGCCTAAGACTGACCTCTGAGGTCTCAGCTCTATATAAGGCCTAGCCTTAGAGATTACTCCACCGTGGTTAGGCCTTTAAAATGAAGATAAAAATCATTTTGAAAATAGGTGAAAAAGATTTTAAAAAAATAAAATTCATTAAAAATGCTTTAAAATTGATGAAAAAAGTGTCTCATTTTGGTCTTTTTCTTTTCTATATATATATTTTTAATAATTACTAAGGATGAAAATTTCAAATTAATTACTAAAATATGTAATTTGTCATCTTAAAGATAATTTTGCACTTTCTCTATATTTTCACTTCTCCCTATTCTCTCCTTTCTATTTCCATCACCTATTACAACTCCTATCCTACAATCTTCCTTGGTTGCCAACCACCCCTCCCCTACTCTCCCCACCACCTACCAATAAGGGATAATTTGATTTTGGTTCAAACAAATTTTTTGTATGTTGTTCCCATATGAGTCTAGCGCGAAAAAAAAAAATTTCAGAATTTGACTCCTATAACAAAATAAATCTTAAAATTTTAATTTTATCGATTTAAATATTAATATTTTGATTTATTTTCAATTTAAAGTATTTGCTTATTTTTGTTAAGTAAAAATAATAAAAAAAAAACAATACTTCAGTTATTAAACTCAATGTATATAACACCCTAAAATATAAATGCTGAACTACACTTTATAATTTCCATTAAACATGCAGAAGCTTAAATAGTCATAAACATGAGTTTCAAAGCATTCGAACGAAAAGAAAACAATATCTAAATCAACACAAATTAATGCCTTAAATGATACAAGTTCCAAAGCCTTGCCCGGTTACAATAGAAGTGTGACATAAGTCTAATACACAAATGTCCAAGGCTATATAGAAAAACCAAGTAACAAAACGAGCATTTAGCTTCAAGGTCCTTCGAAGCTGTTACCTTGACGGAGGCATATTATCAATACCTAAAAGTTGCTTCTACGTATGATGAGCATAAAACTCAATAGGATAATTTAATAACATGTATGATAGTTAACAATGCCATATGGTGAATGCATATGAAATGCAATTCCCAAAAACATGAGTTTTTATCCTTTTGAAACAATACCATGCAAGAGTTTCAAAACCACATCCCAAACACTTCTTTTGAAGGCTCTCAAGCACTACCAAAGGCACTTTACCGGCTCCTAACTGGAAATAAAGCATAATTAACCACAACCACACCTCCCACACAGATTCATCATCTTATTTACCCTTTTTTCAAAACAAAATTACTTCCAAAACATATGTAATTCACAATTTCATGATATGATTCCATGAGATGCATGACTTACAAATAGTTTAATCGCCTAAACCACATCCAATTTTTAACATACGACAATGTTATTCTCCACCGATAACCAAAATAATTATATTCACCATATTGGTTTCGTTTTTTTAAATTATTTTTTCAAAAAGTGATTTGAAAACTATGTTCTGACAATTGATATATGTTTGGTTTTCAAAAAAATGCACTATTCCAATTTAACATTTCCCTCCAAAAGTTGAGAGAGAGGGCTACATACATTGAACAATTAAAAAACAAAAATAAAAAATTGTCACATCAAACGTTGCACCATGTTTGTTTTTATGTATATATGTACATGCTATATATGCATCAAAACATAATTTGATATGTACCTAATTATGGGTGCATATCCTATCATGAAATATGTGAATTTATCATAAAATTTGGTAAAATTAATCACAAAATACGTAATTTCGTCACAAATTGACATTAAAAATAAATCGTAACAAACTTACAAACTTTTCCAACTTCAATTACAAATTTGTGTACATTTTGTTGCCGCCAATTTCTGACGAAGTTATGTATGTACGTGTAAACGTTTCAAAATTTTGTGACAAAATAAATTTTCTGAATAATATTTAGAAAAAATTATGCATCTAATTTGCAAATGCTTACAATCCGTAATTTTCTAGTTCTTGAAGTTCATAACTTTGTATTTGCAATCTGTTTTCATTGACTGTTAAAGTTAATATAAATTTTACTTTACATTTAAAATTGTAAATGTATGTTTAAAAATGTTATCATAATGTTTTTTAGCTCATTAATACACTAAGGCCCCGTTTGGAGACTTACTTTTTTCGCTAATTAGCCAAAAAGTTACTAAATTAGCCAAAAAGCCAACAACTCATACCAAAAAGTCAAAGATTCTATTTTTTCTCTACTTTTTGCACATCTTTTCATAATTAGCCAAAAAGTCATTCCAAACATACAAGTTTTTTTTACCTACCTTTTTAACCAAATAGCCAAAAAATTACTAAATTAACCTGTTCCCAAACGAGGCCTAAATACAGCAAAGATTTGTTAATACAAAAAATTGGTTGATTTTTCATATTTTGTTGTACTGTATATAAATTTTTAACGATTATAATTTAAAAACTTAGGCTCCGTTTGGTTTTCCGTTGAAATCATGTTTCTAAAGGCAAACTTTGCAAATCACTTTTCAAAATTTATAAACAAATATACAACTCAAAAAAAAAAAAAAAATTAAATAAATAAAATGTAGGATATGCAATTACCAATGCCAAAAAAATAAAAACGGAGTAAAAAAAATGTTTTAAAAAAATGCTCTGTTTCGGTTGGAACAAAAATGACAGCAGCACATTAAACCCACAAAACCAGTAGAATGTAAGCATAACGAAAACCGCTTCTGCTATTCTTGTCATTTTAGTAAGTTTTATTAAAAACTTCCTCAAGTCCCACATTGAATGGAAAACCAGAAGAATGTGCACAACAGAAATTTTGCTTTTGCTTCGAAAATGGAGGACTTAATTACCGAATTTGAAACCACAAAACAGAAAGGGGAAACTGTGAGCACATTGGAATATGATTAAGCTAATTTTCCACATAAAAACTAGAAAATATGTGCTTACTATGTCCAAAATGTGGAACTTAGTTTTTGAAATCGAAACTACTTACCAGCAGCTTACAATCTTGCATTTGGTTTCAAATGATGAAGTTAATATCTGAAATCAAAGCAGAGAACATTGATTTCTATGCTCAAAGGGATTTTGAGATTAAACTAGGGATTTGGTGTAGAAATCAAACCACATAAGTTTTAGTTTAACCCACAAACTTCATTTTCAATATGAAAGTCTGATTTTTGTCGAAATGAAACTAGAAAACCGAGATGTTGTTGGAGAAAATTTCATTTCTTATAAATTGATTAAGAAGAATGAAAATCAAAATCGAAGGGGAAATGGAGATGAAATGAAAACATGATGAAGCACAATCCAGATCACTAACCTCTTTGTCGTTTGATCTTTGTCACTCGCAGCTCAAATCAACCACACTTGAATAACGTCTTTGTCGGTGGCCTAAGTCGTTGCTCCGTTGTTGCCGACCTTGGCATAGCAACGGAAGCCAACTCCGAAAATGGTTTGGTGAAGGTAATAAACAGAGCAAGGCAGAGGCTATTAGGAGTATAGTCGTAGATTGTACTTACGCCTATTGCTTCTTCACATCACGTGAAGAATAATATCCCTAAGCATATCATTTTGAAGAGCGCGTTTAGTTTTCTAATAACCAAACAAGTACTCTAAAATTTTCAAATAAGTGAGGTTTCGTTTGAAAAGTGGGTAGGTTTTTAGAATTTTGAATTTTTTTGATTATTTTAGTTTGGGCTAAAAAGCTTGGTTTGGAAAGGATTTTTTGAATTTTTGGCTTTTTTAATTTTTTTTGTGAGAGAAGAGTGTAAAGATTATAGATTGGATGTGATGTTTTGCTTGTTGTGACTAAAATAGCTTATTTTGTCTTTTGTGGTTAAAATAGCCAAAAAGGCCCATAAACCAACTTGCCAAACAGAGGCTGAGTTTGAAAAACAAGAACCATACAAAGTGATTTAAATTTCAAAATTTTAAAGTATAACAATAATCATTTAATCCAATATGGTATCAAAATTCAAAATCTCCATGATTTTTTCAAAATCTCAACGATTTTCAATAAGTAACATTCACACTTTTTAAGAGTCTCATGAATCTTGAAATTTCAAAACCAAATTCCAAAAATTATTATAATTTTTCCAACAAGTTCAATATTTTAAAAAGAGATCAATACCCATCGTTTTTAAAGATTTCACAAATCTTTCGAACCAAATCTCTTTCCAAAAGCTTCAAAGACAAACTAGGTTTTCATAGAAAAATTGGGATTTCTTTCTCAAAATATCATTTTCTTCCAAAACCTAGTGACAAGTTAACCAAAAGAATATTTATTCACCAACAAGCAAAATCCAAAAGAAAACCCCATTTTTATATACTAATACATAACTTAAATCAAACGCTAACTTTCCAAAATTATTTACTTTACAAAATAACATATATCAAAGTTAAAGAGCATACAAGACATCAATAAAATCCCTACCTCAAAGCAAAAGAGGAAGAATGAAGAAACCTCCAAAAGTTGACAGTAGCGAAACGGCGATGTTTTCCGATTAGAATGAAGCAAGGTAAGATGATGCCTCTAAGTGAGTAGATCTAAAGATCTAACGTGAAAAAGCTTGAGTTAGAGAGAGAAGGTGATTCACGAAGTGGAGAAAAGAAAAAAAAAAGAAGACAGAGAAGAAAAAGTAAGGTAAGAGAGTGTGGGTTGGGTTTATTTATAGTACTAGATCAAAAGTGAAATATTTGCCCTAAAGTCAACCCAAAGAATAAGTGAAAACCTCAAAAAGCAGGGTCCAAACGGTGACACAAAAATTTGAAAATTCCTGTCAAGTGTCAACACCTAGAGGAATGGTGTCAATCCTAAGAAGCAGTGCTCAAACACTAATGTTTACAGTAGACAGGGTGTCGACAACTAGAAGCCCTAGTGTCAACTCCAGGAAACAGAACCAAGAAAAAAGAAAGAAGAACAGTAGGTGTCGACCCCAGTGTCGACACCAGAACATAAATTCTAAGTTCCTATTGAACTTTCTGATGACACCAAACGCTAACGAACAATCCTAACGAGTATAAATCGACTTGTATTTCTTCAAAACCAAGATACAACAACTCCAAAGACTTCAATAACGAAAACAAAAGAATTAAATATACTTTCAAATAGTTAAAAGGACATAAGTGTTACAATGTAAGTGTACATAAAATATCTAAAATATCATTTTTTGTTGAATTTAATAACTAAAATAATATTTTTTCTTCAAATTTACTTAACAAAAATAAGCAAATGCTTTATATTGAAAATAAATCAAAATATTAAGATTTAAATTGACAAAATTAAAAATTTCGAATTTATAGGGGTCAAAATCTAGGTTTTTTTATTTTTATTTTTATTTATTTTTCCGAAGAATTAATAACATTTGATTATGGTTCAATTATGAATGGATAAATTACACTTTACTATTTTTATGCTTGATGATTTTCTCACTTTGGTGTTGAAGTGTTTTTTTTTCACTTTGATCATTCATGTTTTAAGTTTTTCTCAATTTACTCCTAAAGTAAATGTCTATTCAAAATTAGACAGAAAAATCTCATGTTAGCTGCCACATGACATAAAAAGTGTATCATCATATTGGTGTTTGGGTTTGTATAAGAGGTGTGAGTTACATATAATAAAATATTTTATGCTACATGGCTGTCAATGTGTCATATTCTAAGTTTGAACATAAGCTAGCTTCAGGAGTAAATTGAGAAAAAACTTGAAATGTGAAGGGATAAAGTGAAAAAATGACAAAACATAAAGGGATAGAGTGTAATTTATACTTCATGTATAGAAGCTAAAAAGAATTAGAAAAAAAAAAAAAAAAAATCTAAATCATCCCATATTTTTGTTAATTTTAATAAGTAGAGACTGTTCCACAAGGGAGTACTCTTCTTCTCATTGACGGCTTCAAACCTCAATCTCATTTTGATGTTGAGAAGATTTTCATTCATTTTATTTATAAAATATTTTCCTTTTGTATAATAATATTAGAGGTGAACATGGTTCGGTTTGGTTTTGAAGTAAATCAATATCTGTGTGAGTGATTTTCCGACCACACTGCCAACTCAGTATTCAGCTGGAGAGCACTGGCAGAATAGATGGCACCTGTCTGACCTGCAACAGAAAGAGAAGATTCCGGCGGTGGTTCGTCCACCCGGGGGCACTCCGACGATCAAGTTAGTATATTTCTAAAAGATAATCAATAGTGCTAAACTCACTATTCAGAATATAAATTGCGTACCTTAGACCCATGGGGGTGCCTCTCTTTTATAGCAAACTCAATCCTAGTCCCAATAGAAGCCTAGCTCTAATAGACTTAGGATTACTACTAATCTTGGACTCCCAGTAGGATTAGGATAAACTTTCTAAGAGTCTTATCTTTACCCAAACTGAAGTCTTCTCCTATTCTAGGACTTTTGTCCCTTATCCGCTTATCTCGGATTCTGGTATTGCCTCAGAATACCTCGACAGTGCCCTAAATATCTCGGCAAACATGATTTGCCCACGTAGCACCTCGGCTAACAACCTCGGCCATGTGGACTACCCAAAAAACATGTCCCTACAACTGCCCCCTAGGTTCTATTACCTCAGCAAACTGAGGTGATGGAACTTATATTATCTCTTTCATCTAGCACGTTGGCTAAGCTTGCTTCATCATTTATTGCCGAAGTCAGAACTCGTCGGCTCAATATGACCAAAACCTATAGTCTGCTTTCATTAAGGCTTTGGAACCAACAACCAAATTTGTTCAAGTTTCTCAGCTGAAACTGTCCTTCTAGCCGAGGTATTTATTTCATTAAATCAAGGACTTCAAGAGTTTTCTTCATGCGTATGAGCTGGCACGTACAATTTTTCAACCGTTTCTGCCACACATCTTTCCTCTACTGAGCCGTGTCTGATACGCGTCACTAAGTCACCTTGCATCTGCGTATTTGATCAAAATCTCTTCACTCTCTCCGTCTTTTCACTTTTGCATCTTCGTTTTTGTTTAAACTTTCTCTTCAAATCCTCTATTGCTGCTTTTGCGAAGCTTTCTGCAACTAGTTTCACTCTCCCCTCTGGTAAGGCTTCTGCTGCACTTCCTTGCTTACGGCCACCGTCTGATCCTGGCGAACTTTACTTCGGCTTCATTGCTTTACTCGTTCATGTCTTTTGATCATTTAACCTGTATCTTGAATTTCACCATGTACTGAACATGTACTGTCTTTGTACCTTGTACTTTTTTGTTACTCAAACAATTTATTCTTCAATGTCAGGCCGAAGTGCCTTCTTTATCTGAATGCATTTTTTAACTTCTTCTTTCAAGTGTTTTGAATGTTTACCCTCTTCTTAATGCCTTGTATGATTCCATACTTAGAATATAATTTGCATGTCTTCAACATACACCTTAACTGTGCAATCTCCCCAAGTTAACATACCTCGGACAAAACTTTCAACCTTGCTTATCTCGGTCTCGGTTTAACACTTGAAAACATTGTAACAAATATTTTCACAAATGTTGCTTTTACTTCTTAAGACTTCTGTCTTCCATTATTTTCCAAGTCTTTGTAACATAGTCACCTCGGCACGTGTATAGATACTTTTATAACCTTGGATTTAACTTTAACTTGTAAATTTTCTCAAAATTTCAACAAGTGTTAAACATCATCCCGGTTTAACTTCAACTTGTAAACTTTTCTCAAGTTTCAACAAGTGTTAAACATGATCTCGGTTTAACTTCAACTTGTAAATTCTCTCAAAATTTCAACAAGTGTTAAACATCATCTCGGTTTAACTTCAACTTGTAAACTTTTCTCAAGTTTCAACAAGTGTTAAACATCATCTCGGTTTAACTTCAACTTGTAAACTTTTCTCAAGTTTTAACAAATGTTAAACATCATCTCGGTTTGTGAAATTCCAACCTAATGTAAACTTAAGTTCCACTTGGGTTCTCATTAGGCACGTGGCTTTGACCTTGATATTGCTCTATGGGCAGGGGATCTGCCCCCTGCATGGCTTCCACATACTCCTTTGTGGAAAAAAAAAAAAAAACTCTGTAACTTAGGCCAGGCTTTTCTCTTCTCAGACTTAATCATCTAAGCCGATATCTTGTCTTCTGGGATCTGGGATTCCAGGTCTGGAATTTGGGATCTGCTCACTTGGGCTAGGCTCTTGTCTTCTCGTGTCCAGTACTATCTCGACTTTGCTTCGGCGAGCCATTTCTCTTATCTTGTTTGGACGCCTTTGTCCTCGGCGTGTCTTCCTCGGCTCTGGCATACTTTTCTATTCTGGCCATCAGCTCCTCCATGCTTTTCGGCAATGTCTTTGCTAGTGATTTTCAAAGCAGGCAGTCATCCTTCAAGCCGTTTTTAAACGACATGACCGCCACCTCTTGGTTGCATCCTGGTATTCGGTTGAATACCTCATAATACCTTTTGGTATAGGCCCTACGGCTTTCATCCTCGCCGATCTTCAGGGCCATTAGGGCGTCTACCCTCAATGGCTGTAGTTTGTTTGTCATGAACCTGGCTACAAACATCACGGCCAGGCCTTCCTAGGTTTTCACAATTCCTTTTGGCAACTTATGAAATCAGTCCGATGCAATTTCCCCGAA